AGCCCCTATGTAGGATGTGGTTCAAATGAGAATTAAGTCCTAGCGTGAGAACCGTGAGAACCGCTATTTTTAATTGTATGTAGTGCTATGATTGATAGTGTTTTAGTGCTATTTTTAACTATGATGTATTTTATTAAAAATAGCAATAAAATTTCTTTTAGCATTTGTGTAAATGATAGCACCATGTAATATTAAAAATAACATCATACACAATTAAAAATAGCATCAAATATGGTTCTCACGGTTCTCACACCAGACATAGTTTTTATTTGAACCAGCCCCTATATATATATATATATTATTTGCAGTTTATTTTTTATTTCTATTTATTCTTTTTTTTTCTTATTGTTAGTTTGTTTTGTCTTAACTGAATTGATTATTATATTTTTATTAAAATTTATTGCATACAATTGCAAATCATTATTTATCTGTTCTAGACTTTTTAAATTTTATAAGACTTTTTATTCTAGTTTTTAATTTTTATCATTAATACTTTTTATGCACCCATGTTTGCTTTCTGGGATGCGATTGAACTAAAATAGTCTAATTGTGAATGATTGTACTGTTTGGACAAATATCATCCTATGTTTGTTATATAGGATAAGGATTATGATAACTTTATGTTTAAAAAAAAATGCAAAATAAAAAATAATGGTTTAAATTACTCTATTACCCATTTGAATAAATTAGTTAAATAAAAGTTGGGGGCAAAGATGTTATTTTACATGCCCGGATAGTTGATATCCCGTCTAACAGCTGAGATTGAGTTATCCCATTGGACCATGATTACATATGTTATAATCCCGGGCTAAAGGGATTCCAACGGATCGCCATCCTTTCAACCAAACGAGGGATTAAGGCACGATATGCGGGATATCCTGCCTAATCCTGCAAAGCAAACAATAGGGGGCCGTTTACTTCATGGGACAAGATTACACAAAATAATCCTTGTAACTTTACACGTCAGCTTTTTGTCCTTTGTTTACTTTGTGTGACATATTTGTGTGAAAATAGTTTATTGTTTACTATGTGGGATTAAGTGATAAGGTAAGTCTTGCAATGACATCTTTACCCCTGTGAGCCTAATGAAACGGTGCAGATTGACGGGCTTCGATTTTTAGCATCTGATTTTCCCCTTCTTTCTCAGATTCATTTTTTTCGAACCCTAAATTGGAGTGAAGGAGAGGAGGACCCGAGAGGATCTGTTTTGGTTAATATGATATTCATCACCAATTACAGCACACTATTTAACAGAACATACATAATTACTCAAGATACCAATTAGTTGTACTATACTAAACAAGCAAATCAGAAGACCAGAAAAATGGGTATCAAATTCAAACATACAACACAATAACACGGCTCTAAAAAACTAGGGCACAGAAGACCAGAAAACTAAAGGAAGTATGACATTGAAGCATCAACAATTGATGGCACAGTTCACCCAAAACAAAAGCAACAACAACTACGATTGACAACAAAACACAAAAAAAAAAAACGAAGCAAGCGACGGACCACACAAAATTGTAATGGAGAAGAAATCTCCGGAGAAAACGAAGCACGCCCAAGAATGTAACGGAAATCGACAAAATTGAAACCGAGGAGAAAAAAAATGAAGAATTGGAGCTCACCATATAACCCGACGGAGAAAACGAAGCTTGACAACAATGGCGATTTGTCTGTGCAGAAACGAGGGCAAAAAAAATGAGGATTTCAATTTTATTTCTATGGTGGGTGGCAGTTGTAAAATAATAGAAATTAAGGGGTATATTGGTCATTTCATAACGAAATCTGAGGGCAATATAGGTATAATGTGTGTGGGATTGTTATATCCGATGGAGGGCGCGAGATGAATTTAATCAGAAAAGTTGGGATGAACAAGTTTCCCGCCTTCCACATGTGCGCCACGTCAGGAAAATCCTATCCCGTTCCCATGAAGTAAACGTAAGATATCCCAGGACTATTTTGAATATCCTGTCCTATCCCGCAAAGTAAACGCCCCATAGAAGTATAATATATTATTTGTAAAAAATAATTCATATGGTACTTCATAAACATAAAAATGACTAAATAATTTCATTACAAGATCTATTTTAAGGAAAATGCTATAGTCCCGTTATAGAACCATTCCGTCGGAATTTGTAACCATTAGATCATCAACCGTCGTGGATAGTTGATCTAACGGTTACAAATGGTTCCGTCACAGGACCGTAGAATCTCTCCTATTTTATACTCCATAGTAACTATTTTGTTTACGTAAATGTTATTAATACTTTCTAAAAAATTTACTAAACACGGATATTGTTCTAGTAATAGTAATACAGTTCATTCAATTGCAAGTCGCAACGATACCATCATTAGTTAATTTTTATATTTAAGTACTCGCACTTGTTTACCAAAACTATATGGCAAACAACTAGGTAATTAAATAAGGGTTTTTTTTGTATGAAACCAACAGTTGACTCCATAGTGAAACCAACATTCTATATACAACAAATAAACTTACCATATTAATAAAATTATATTAGTGTTATTAAGTAGGGTTTTGCTATGAAACCAATAGTTGGCTCTATAGTGGAGCCAACCTTCTATATACAGCAAATAAACCTACCATACTTTCTGATTACTTAAATAACGCTAATATAGTCTTATTAATATAGTAAGTTTATTTGTTTCAGAGAATATGGTAAATTTATTTGTTGTATATAGAAAATTAACTCTACTATGGAACCAATCGATTAAATAAGTTATTAGTTATAATACTAATGTAATCGGGTATTAGCTGTCTAATTCCCAAACAAGGCCAAACAATACCCCATCAGCCAAAAACAGAATCTGCAAATAAAGTAAAAATGGATAATAAGTAATTAAACAAATAAATTAAAAAAAAAAAAAAAAGAGCCAGCTTTTGCTTTTCCATTTTCCCTTCATAAATACTGCAGTGTGTGACCTCTGCTTCACTCAGTTAGCGTGGGTTGGTTGATTGGTTTTCTTTTCTTGGGCTCTGTTTGGCTTGTGCTATTGGCAACACTTCCCCCAATGGCCTCCTTTTTCTCCCTTTTCCCTTCTCTGGTCTTTCTCCTCCTTTGCTCCCAACAGTTGCTCCCCTGCGGTGCCTACCCAGCCAAACGCGGCCCCCATCGACACCACCACCCTCCTCGCTTTGCCTCCCACAACTACAGAGATGCCCTCACCAAATCTATCTTGTTTTTCGAGGGCCAAAGGTCGGGAAAATTACCTCCTTCGCAAAGGGTCAGCTGGAGGAAAGACTCTGGCCTTTCAGATGGAGCCGCTGTGCACGTACGTCTTCTGTTTTTCCTCTCATTTTGGTCTCAAAATGCTGCATTTTTTGTTGTTTTTCTCGTGTTTCAGTAATTTTTTGCACTCAAAATGGTGTATTCTTGGTTTTTTTTTAGGTTTTATTCACTATCTTGGTTGAGTGAGGGAATAAAGTTTCAAACTTTATGGTGAACAGTAACTGAAAATTTACAATGTGGGGTTTTTTTTTATGGGTTTTGGTTAACATTTTTGACTGGAAAATGGTTAAGGCACATACAACTCTTGATTACTAACCTTGTATTTAGATGTATTGTGTCCGAGGAAGAAAGGTTTGAACTGTTTTTAGCATAATTTTTGTTGTAATTTTGACATGTGAAATGGGAAAATGCAGGTGGATTTAGTGGGAGGGTACTATGATGCAGGGGACAACGTGAAGTTCGGCTTCCCAATGGCGTTCACAACCACAATGCTTTCATGGAGTGTGATTGAGTTTGGTGGGCTTATGAAAGGTGAACTGGGCCATGCCAAGGAGGCCATCCGTTGGGCCACCGACTATCTTCTCAAGGCCACTGCTCATCCAGACACCATTTATGTTCAGGTAATCCTTTACATTTCTTTGGGAAATGCTACGGTCCCGTTACGGAACTATTTCGCTGGGGTTTGTGACCGTTAGATGATCAAGTAAACGTCGGAGATAATTGATCTAACGGTTACAAGCCCCGACGGAATGGTTCCGTAACGAGACAGTAGCATCTCCCCCTTTCTTATGTGTATAGATTGTTTGTTTGGCTTGCTAAGAACAGATTTGGTTAAAAAAAATGAGGGCCTTTTTCTGAACATGGAGGCAAAAAAGATTGGATTTTTTTGAGATTGTTTTGATTATTGCAGGTGGGAGATGCTACGAAAGATCATGCCTGTTGGGAGAGGCCTGAGGACATGGATACCCCAAGGAGTGTCTTCAAGATTGACAAGAATACCCCTGGCACTGAGGTAGCTGCTGAAACAGCTGCAGCTCTTGCAGCTGCTTCTATGGTCTTCAGAAAAAGTGATACTACTTACTCCAAGCTCCTTGCCAGGAGGGCCATTAGGGTACTACACAACTGGTCTTCTTTTTTTCGAATTTTTACCTCAAAAATTCCTTAAAGTTGCCAAATCTTGTTTGTATAAACTACATTGCTCTTTTAACAGGTGTTCCAGTTTGCTGATAAGTACAGAGGTCCTTACAGTAATGGCCTGAAACCATTTGTTTGCCCATATTACTGCGATTTTTCCGGTTACCAGGTAGCAATTCCAGTTCTTGAAACTCGACTGGTATATATATACTTTGTATTGGTTCGAAATGCGTGTTGAGAATGCATATCGATTGTTTTCGAAGGACGAGCTATTGTGGGGTGCTGCTTGGTTACACAGAGCAACAAGAAATCCAACTTATCTAACCTACATTCAAGCCAATGGACAGACACTTGGAGCTGATGAATCTGATTTTACATTTGGATGGGACAATAAACATGTTGGAGCCAGAATCTTGCTTTCCAAGGTTGCAATAATGTTTCTTATATAATAACATCTCACTAAACATAACAAATTGATTTGTGAAAATTGTGATTTATGTGGATTTGATTCTTTTTTTTGTTCAGGCATTTCTTGTCCAAAGTGTTCAGCCTCTCCACGATTACAAGAGCCATGCAGATAGCTACATTTGCTCTCTTATCCCCGGGACCCCGTTCTCCACTGCTCAGTACACTCGAGGTTCGTTTTTTTGTCCAACATATTATTAATTAACATAAATAGTGAAAAGAAACTCTCACATTTGCTCAATATCACAAATGCCCTAAAAATGCAATCTTTTGTTGTGGGACTAATTTAATTTTTTGGATTATAGGCGGGCTTTTGTTCAAGATGAACGATAGCAACATGCAGTACGTGACTTCAACGTCTTTCTTGCTCGTGACCTATGCCAAATACCTCACCACCGCACGCACCACAGTCAAATGTGGCGCGAACATCATCACGCCGAAGAAGCTAAGGGCATTTGCCAAAAAACAGGCAAGCCAATTTCTTAATCAATTTCCACCCATAAAATTTAAATATATTTCTATGATCAATTGTCTTGTTAATCAATCCTCTGTTATTACATTTGCTTAGGTGGACTACTTGCTAGGTGACAACCCCTTGAAGATGTCCTTCATGGTGGGCTACGGCCCACGGTATCCCCAAAGGATCCACCACAGGGGATCCTCCCTCCCTTCCATATCATCCCACCCCTCGAAAATCCAGTGCTCGCCGGGCTTTGGCTTCTACAAATCCCAAAGCCCGAATCCCAATCTCTTGATCGGGGCTGTTGTCGGCGGGCCCGACCAGAATGACCGTTTTCCGGATCAACGGCCAGACTACGAGCAATCCGAGCCGGCCACCTACATAAACGCGCCACTTGTCGGAGCCCTGGCTTACCTGGCGCACTCGTTCGGCCAGCTCTAGATATAATCAAGACTCTGTTTTCCCCCATTTAGTATTATTAACTATTTTTACTAGTCCCTTTTTTCCTTACTAAAAGTTGGCGCCAAAAGCAAAAAATGTTTATGCAATGGTGTTTGGCTCCAAAATTTATTTTAAGTCAAAACTGTGTCGTTTAGTAGTTGTAATTTAACTATTTAAGTGTGTGTGTGTGTGTGATTAGGCCGGCGGGGCGAGAAAAACAAGGAGGGGCTTCGAGCCAATAGCCATACAGTGCGAGCACAGCTTGGCATTGTTTTTATATTAGGCTTTAGTTTATTTTAGTAAGTTAAACTATTAGTATTATATATGAAGTGGGGGGATGAACGTGAGTTTCGTGCCATAAACGGCGCATTCGGCTCAAGTAGCTTGAAAAATATTGCATGGCCATTGAGCTGCCTTTTGGGCTTCTTTCTTGCTTCTGTTTTTACTGTTTTCTTTATCTGCCCTTTTGGAAATAATAATCAGCAGCTAAAAAGGTATTCAAGTGGGCACACTAAATTTTGGTGGAGTGTTTTATTTATAGCAAAAATTCTATGGAATCATCTGATTGTTTTATTATGAGTCGTCCACCACTAAATATATTTTTTTTTTGGGTAGCTAGTCACGATATCTGGAGTTATGTTTCGACTAATTCGTTGATCGACCCGGGTCGCATATCTGGCAATGTTGGGTGAGTCTCTTAACAAGAATTTTCTGCATCCACAAAGACTCGAACATGACACCTTGCTTAAGCGACATTAAGTTGTTTACCACTTCAGCCAACTCCTGTTGGTTAAATATATTGACACCTATTCAAATTGTATTTATTGTAGAACACGTGTCAATACATTATTAATGAATAACTGTGGATGGCTTCATAAGTCGAGCCATCGCTCCAAATCAAAACTGTTATTTATAGTACTTATTTAATGGAGGGGATTTATTTGTGGTGAAAGTGAAAAGTAGATGGGAATATTTGACCGTTAGATTGCAAAAGAAGGAAAAAAAATGAGGTTTTGGCGGGAGTTAAAACGGCGTGTGGCATGTGAGGGCGTAACAGGGGATTACTAGAGAGGCACGTGGTCAAAAGCTGCAGGGGGACTGTACTGTGTCAGAAAGCGCCTCGGCTTTTGGAAGACCAAATTCATCAATGTGCTTTTTTTTAGACTTTTAAGGTCTATTTAATTGAATTAATCTTATTTTACATGATTAAGGTAAATTAAAAATATACATTACGTGACAACTCAGTAAAGCAATTAAATGAAAAAAAAAAGCAATTTAGGGGAACCCCTCATATCCAAGAGGTTCCGTTTTAGTCTCATTCATTCGGCACACTGGCATTGCAACCAGAGATGTTCCATTGATCAAAAAAACTTATCAAATCATCAAAATTCATGGTTCGAATTGATTTCCAACTGGCCTAGGCATTGCCTCGCTGTCTGTGATTTGCATAAATCGATTGAAAAAATCGGCCAGACGACTAGGTTGTGCCTAGGTAGGCCTAGGCGCTCTTAGGCGACCTCGGCGAAAATTTTTCAAATTTTTTCAAATACTAATTACATTATTTTGGTATCATGTTTTTTTATAATATACTAATATTGATATGGATATTATACCTTAGACCGAGACAGTTGATGAGAAAGGAATAAATCGGATAATCTGGTCAGGTCGAACAGAGTATACATTGATCGATACAGGGTAGAGATTAATGCTATGCGAATTTAGGAACACCCGGTAGATCCCAACTTCACAAAAGACCTGGTCGAAATACTAGGCGGTCGAACATGAACGGTCGTGAGATCGACCATCCCCAATACCAGGGGCGACTTAATAACTTATCCAGATCTGGTCGAACATAGGAGCCTCCAAAGGAAACTTTGAGACACGTGTGCGGGACATGTGGCGCGAGTTAATTGGTCTACACCAATAACCGTCTCTGACACATTCCTGACATATTCTGGGTGCGTGTACCAAAGGTTGTACGATCGGGCAGGTCGGGCAGCCAGCTCAGTCAAATCCGGACAACTTCTAGGGCAGGTATCTCACTCCTATATATAGGGGTGAGGTTTATTGTTTGTTTAGTATAGAATTGATGGGCAAAGGATAACCGAGTTACCCGACTCGGGTCGATCTCGAGGGAAGGCTATTCAGAGCTTTATCTACTAAATTATCGTCCAAATCACAAAAAGGGAAAATAAAATCCTAAACATTCTAAGCAATTGATGGAATGGTTGATTAACACTAATCGAGCACTTAAAAATGAGCAATTAATTAAAAGTAAGATCAAATGACGAGCAATTAGCAAACTAGATCACCAGAGTCTCATGCCATAACCATAACGGGATGATAATCAATCGACATACGGAATAAACGAGCTACGAGCATTAGATTGCTAACCTTAGTCGTCTAACCGAGATCAACGAGCAATTAACAACTCTATCTACTCAAGCAAACAATCAAATTCAAGCATTTCCTCCATCATCAATCAAATCCAAATTTACCCTAATGAACATTATAAGTAAAAACGAAGCAAAAACCGAAGTAAAAAGCTTTAAAACTAAATACTCATTCTCCCATTGCGTAGACGATGAAAAACGGAGTCAAAAACTTGAAACTTGAAAGAAACCGAAGTCGCCGGAAAATCTCCCGGAAAATAGCATAAACTCCTAATCTAGAGAGCAAAAATAAACATAAGCTAATTTCCCAAAGTGGAAAAAGTGAAAAATGAGAGATGGATGTCCAAAATACAAAGCATCAAATGTATTTATACTACTAGGCAAAACACACACTAAAACACACACATTTAATGATAAAAACTCGCTAGGTAGGTTGAACTTGCAGGATAGGTCTTCGATTTCGCTGGATAGTTTTGCTAGGAAGTGGAACTCGCAGGATACGTGAATTCGCAGGATAGAGGATGAAAACTCGCAAGATAGCATAAGGAATTCGCAGGATAGAATAAACTCGCCAGATACACCGTTTTCGCGGGATAGAGCAGCATTTTCGAGGGCTCTAATCCGGCCTTGACTTGACTTTTAAAGCTCTAACTCGTCACACACTTCTCCGAACACCTTGAAAATTTGACTCCATTAATCGACACACCGATTTCAATGACGAACTTCATGACTAAGCATTCGGGACGACATATCACAAAACGAGTATTTCTTCCTTCCGACCTACAAAAGCACCAAAAAACGCACAAAGAGATAGAACAATATACGAAAACGACTCAAGAACGAAAAACTACTAAAAACGAACAAAAATGGACCGGGACTCACAAACCGAACCTAAAAAGACTGGACTCAAACAAATAAAAACGCACGAAAAACACACAAAAATATAAAAAACAACTCCCCCACACTTAGTTCTTTGCTTGTCCTCAAGCAAACAATATCATTAACTTTTGAAAAGATAAATTCATTTAATTATTCATCACTCATCAAGCCATGCCTAGCTCATCTTACCCACAATACTTAGTAACATCAAATTAGATCATGCGTTCCCCAACAAATTAGAATCATACAAAACAAAACCGTCCAATGCTCCACCACACATAGTCAACTCATCACAAGCATACTTTTACAAATCTACTCGAGAACACACACGCATCGATGTCCCAACAAATTAATAACTAATCATAAACTCACATTTTCTCATATTTTACTATCACATATAATCTCGTTTCAAGACTAACTTGAGCGTTGGAGGCTCTTCACCGGGAAATCCCGCCGGCTTGAGAATTTTGTGCAGGTTTCGACGTTCTACCAGTGAGAGGAGAATGATCGAGATGGTTATCAGTCGGCCGTAGTGTTACACTTGTATTAAATATATTATTTGAATTTTAGTTGTGTTGATTTATTATAAGTTGCGATAATTTTATTTTGTAGATAATGAAAATAAATATAAAAATAAAGTATTTAATTTTGATTTCTAGGTCTCGCCTAGGCGTCGACTAGGCCCCGCCTAGGCACTCTAAACGCTAGCCGCTGGTCGAGAGTGTATCGGACATCTAGCGACTTTTAGAACACTGTTATGCAGCCAACGAATGCCACGACTTATGGAGTCATCCACACTTACTCGCAAATATGTATTGACACGTGTCCTACCATAAATACATTTTCGATATGTGTCAATACATTAAGTGATGGATGACTCAATAAAAAAAATCATCCAATAGCTCTATAGAATCTATGTTCCAACTGAATATTATTTGTCGGTTCACTGTAACCACTAGTCGTCCAATCATATAAATTGAAGGAAGAAAAAGAAAAGAATAAATGAAAATGGGCCTAAAAATTGAAAGAAGAAAAAAAAAAGGAAATTTTTTTATTTATGATACATGATTTTAAATTAATTGCAATTTTACTATACAAGTAGAAATAATTATGTCTACCTAAAAGACATTATATATTTATATTAATGCCTAAAGTTACCATATCCTTATCTCCTTATATCCTTAATTCACGCAGGTTATTTAATAGAGTACTCAGGTGGTATATATTGGGTTTATGTTAGTATATATTCAGTATATGTGGCAACTGGAATTTTGTAATTCACGCAGCCGGTATATATTGCGTCTATGTTTCTGAGGTGGTATATATTGAGTTTATGTTAGTATATATTCAGTATATGTGCGCAACTTGAATTTTGTAATTCACACAACCGATATATATTGCGTTTATGTTAGTATATATTCAGTATAAGTTGCAATGAAAAAAGAAAATATTATTACAGATTACTTATATTCCTTATACAAAAAAATCTTCTAAATTTACAAAACATATACTGTGCATATACTCCATATACATACAACATATACCCAAAATGTAAATAATCCAGATGTAAATGTCTAAAAACTGAAAATATACTGTTTATATACTCAACATATACTGATTGGGGTGTGGTTTAAAAAAAAAAAAAAGACACTCAAAATCTCAATACAGTTCAACATCCAAAAGTATAAACCGTCCACAAAAACTGAAAATAATGCCAAAAAAGTAAGAAGATAAAACAATTTTTATACCAGACTTTTTGACTTCAGATAAATTGCAATCCCTTCAATACCTGCATCAAAACTTGCGAATTTTTTATTTACCTTTTTCTTTTCTTCCTATTACTTAGATTACCTTCACAACAAGATCTAGGATATCAATCACTATCTCCATATTTTTAATTGTCGAGGCCTTGGAAATTCAAGGACATCATCACACAGATCAACAAATTATAAGTTAATACTTGAATATCCAAAACATTACAACAAAGAAACAGAGCAAATTAGCATGGATTCTTCTAAATTCCTCTATTAGTATTTACATGGATTTGGATCTTGCTGAAGCTAAATGAAATGGGCATATACATCTTGATATGAGGTAAATAGGTTTTATGGTGATGGTGTTGGGATGAAGCCACTGCCGCCCCTAATCCTCGATCGATTTCGAGCCATGGTGAAGGAGAGAGGAAAAACTTATTAGGGTTTTTAATGGTAGAGTCATTTTTTCCTTCAGCACCGATGAAATTGTGCAAATTTATGAGATTGTTTTGTCTGAACTCACAGTTAATTCGAAGCCTATCATCATTGGGGGAGGAGAACAACGTCGGATCCATAGAAGAAGAAGAAGATGATGAAAGAGAGAGAAGAAGAAGAATAGAAAGAGAGAGAGAGAGAGAGAGAGAGAGAGAGAGAGAGAGAGAGAGAGAGAGAGAGAGAGAGAGAGAGAGAGAGAGAGAGAGAGAGAGAGAAAGCGTGATTATAACTCCCATTAAATCTGTTTTTACTAATAATTATCTATTAATCAACAATCTGGTATGTTTGTAAATAAAAATCATAACTTTAGTTAATTTTAAAAAAAATATATATGAGTTGTAAATGTGTAATAAAAATGTTAATGTGTAGTGGAGGATGTAATTTCCTCAAAAAAAATAAATAAATAAATAAATGAAAATGGGCCTAACCATGGGCGCAATTGTGTAGATAAAGATGAATATTCTATTGTGCCTCTACCAAATTTATGGACACGGGGCTTGCATGTTACAAAATTATGTATATAAAATCAATCTCAGCTCAAACTTTAACAAACACAGTATGTGACTGGAGCACATACTGATGTGAATGCAATAAAAAACATCAAAACTCTAGAGCCTTCATCAAGGGACAAAGTGATTTGGGACTGGAGCACTAATGGTGATTTCTCTGTTGCCTCTATCTACAATAAACTGGTGTGGGAAAAATGGAGACAACTTGACAAAGCAGAAACCAGTGGAGAACAGCAGACATGTAGAAATGTGAGGAAAAAAAGCTGGTCTCTCAAGATAAAAGGCAAGTTAAAACACTTTCTTTGGAGATGTTACTCAAACATACTCTCTGTCAGCTGCAACCTAAGGAACAAAGGCATACAAATGGATGACATTTGCAGGACCTGTGGAGAAGTCCCAAAAACAATTACACATCTCTTCTTTCATTGTGCAAAATCTAAGCAGCTTTGGGCCTTGGAACCAGTCACATGGGAAGGAATAGAGGCAGACACACAAGATTTCAGAGGATAGTGGAATAGGTTGTGCTCTTTAAATCCTTCTAAGACTTCTGATTCTAGAATAGAATTAACTGCCCACATCTTGTGGTGGATATGGAAGTCTAGAAGCCAGTGGATATTTCAGCAAGTACAGAGGCCATCCAAAGATGTGGTGGATATTGCTCACAAAGAATGGCTAGAGTATATGGACAAAAGTTAATACCAACCGAGGATCAGCTAGGGGCCTTGTGACTCAGTGGTGGATCTTCTGAGGTGAAGCTCATGTTTATAGAAATGGTCAAGGTTCAAGTAGGCTGGTTATGTACTTGTCAGGAAGTGGGTTTTAGCTGCCAGGCTTTGGTTTTCTTAATTTTTCTTTTGTTGGGACCTTGTAGATTTGGTTGTCCTGTTTGGGTTGTTCATTTTGCTGTTATGGTGGGCTTGTCGAACAAGTTCTGTAGCTTGGTCTCTGTTGTTCGATGTTGGGGTGGATTGTCTTTTAGGACACCATGTGGTGATCCTTATTGTTATGGCTAGTTAGCCATCGAACTTTGTACATTTGTAGTAGTTATTTAATCTACCGTTTCGTTAAAAAAAAAACACAGTTCATTAATATTAAATATATCAATTAATCATCCTTACATATTACATCAAATATAATTCACTATTAATCTACTTACACAACTTTAACTACTATCATTTCTAATCATTTGTCTCATACTTTTATATCAAACCAATTTTAATCATTTTTACATATTATTTCAATACACACTTAAGATCCCACTAATTAATCATACCAACATTTTCTAAAATTAACATGGTTAACAAAAAAGAAAAGAAATTGATATATTTTTAGACAAGCACACACTCGATCTTTCGGTTCGATTGGATTAACCTTCAGGGGCGAATTTATAAGGGACCTGATATGGGATACCACACCAGGTAGAGCAAACCACTAAATCGGCCAATCAAGTCGAACGAACCGGTTGGCCGAACATAGCCGCAAGAAGGACGAACGCTAGTGCATGATATCGAGTCTTCAGGATGAAGAAGGCGTAAGGGATCCTAAGGGGTAACGACAAGTCGAGCTAGGACATTCGGATAGCCTGTTGGAAACTCGACCTGTAGGTAAGATTGGTCGTGTTCTACCAGAAGAACAACACTTAGGCTCAATACATGCAACATTCTACCTCAACAAGATTCGAGCTGGTCGCACCATTAAGCGATCTAATGAGAAAGACTAATGGATAAGAAAAAATATTAATAGGATAAATACCCCACATGGATATGGTCGCGTGACTTTACAGAATTTGACAATTCAGGCAGTTTGGGCAGTACGAACGGGTAGTTAGGGTAGCTTACTCGGGCAATCTTGGGAAACATGATATCATCTCCTTATATAAGGAAATGAGGTATACCCATTGTCACATTACATTCTCTATATTCTCTACATGCATACTGCACTTCATCTTCTACAAGTGCTAACTTAAGAATCAGAGGTTCCTCGTTTAAAAACTCATCGGGTATGAAAGTTTTTACAAGTCTATAGCTCCTTCTACCGACAAGGTGCTCAGAACAGGCCTAATATCAACCAGTCGGAGGTCTTTTGGGTACCACGACTAGTATCGGCTGAGGCCCACACTAAATTTTTCAAGCATTTTTTTTAAATAGTACTCGGGATAATATATAAATTAACCAGGTAATTTACATTGTGTTGGTGCATTTGATATTTGGGAAGATACACCGGTACCACTCTCTCCAAATTATAAAATAACTTATTGCATTTTGTTTTTCCATCTTTAGTTACTTTATATTTATTTCTATGAATCGACACTATTTATTCTATTTTGCTTTGATTTAAACTTGATATATAATTGGTTCATTATTTAAGATGAATTATAATAAGAAGAAGAAAAATAAAATCTTTCTTATTTAGTTGATTAATTCACTTATATAGTTAAATTGATTCCAAAGTTTTTAGTTAATTAATAACTCACATAAATATATAAGTTTCTACATAAATCACTTTAAATTTGATTCCAAATTTTTTAGTTAATTAATAATTCATCAGATAAGTATACAAGTTTCCACGGAAATAACTTTAAGTTATATTTCTGACTATAGTTAATCTACTTTAAAAAATTAAAAAAAACAAACAGAAAAACATCGATTGGATATATGGCCATTTTTTTTCATACAATCAAGATTTATCTGGTTGAAACGAACAAAATAAAAAAAAATCATAAAAATACTATTCATTTCATCTCAACCTTTTATCTATACGTAACACAATTAATACATAATATATTCATATTGTGTTATACTTTCTAATAATAATATTATCACCTAACATATTTCTATTATCATTAAATCACATCAATTTTAATCATTATATTTTTATCGTGTATTCATTCACAATTTCAAATCTTCCTCACTTTATTTTTTTTCTCTATTTTCATATAAGACAAGATTTTTAAAAAAAAAAAATATTTACAATCTCAACCTATAATTTTATTTTGTAATTCAGATGGTTAGGTATGAAAACAACTTAAGCTCCAAATTGAAATTTTAATTTTACGTTTGATTGATTTGATTAACCATATTTTGTGAGCACTTTATTACTTGCAAAATGTCTACCCACATCAATAAAGCCTGTACTTGAAATTCATTGACACTTGACATTAAACAAATATCAGTAGTAGTACACAGTTCTTGTATTACACCGGTGGAAACATACACGAATTCCTGTATCGTCGGGAACACACTTGACGTATTTTGCAGGATATTTCGAAGATCAAATCGATTCGAGGTCATTATGAAGCCGATTCAAGGAGAAGTTGCACATATCGCTTACTAATTACAAACAACTAATACGCTAATGAGTGATGCTCCTCTACCCACGGTAGACACATGTTAATATGTCCACCGATTATGTGGCATGCACATATTATATAATCTGTATTGATTAGTGTATTGATGGCAAGTGAACAATTCAATTCGGGGTCAAACCAAAGCAGTCAACAAGTCAAAACGAGGAAGCAAACAAACCTGATGTTCTCCCAGGTTATGACCACTAAAAATAGCAGACGAACAAAATGAAAACACAATTGTGAATCACACAAACTGATGGCAACAACAACGTAGGACATGCAACGCCGTACATGAAAAACACACTATGGATAGCCACCCACATCTCATATTCTACACGCTAGTTTGCATTAAGGGAGAATCACAGCCAAACATCCCCCACCAAAGTCTTACGCTTTAACTCCGAAAATCGTCTTTTAACGTACGGCCGCATTATGACAAATTCACGAGGCGGCCGCCACGCAACTACTAATGCCCGGGAATCGTCATCATGTCTAATTACAGTTTTGTGCGCGTCATTTTTGTTCACGATTAACGGCGTCCGATGCGACCCTGTCCACACGCACCGTGCCCTGATCGGCGAGGCAGTTTTTGACGTCAACAGGTTCGGAGCCAAAGCCGATGGCAGAACAGACAATGCAATGGTGAGTTTTTTTGAGGCCTGTAATTTAGAGTTTTGCTTGTCGAACCTATTTTACTATATACTGATTTTAATTAATGAAAATTTGCAGTCGATTATAAGAGCCTGGCAAGCCGCGTGCCGCAGTGTGGGACCCGCGAAGGTCCTGATACCTCGAGGCCAATTTGTGGCCTCGGAGATTGTTTTCGCGGGACCGTGTGTGGCTAGAAAGCCGATAGTCATCGAGATCCAAGGCAACGTGCTTGCGTACGACGACCTGAGTAGCTACTCGAGTGGCGCTTGGATAATGGTGCAGAAAGTCGACGGTATCCTCATCACTGGCGGAGGAACCATCAACGGTCGCGGCAAGGAAGCTTGGCAATACAACAGTCAAGGTGGCCCTCTTCTTCCAGTGGTAAGTCCATTTTTTTTTTTTTTTTTTTTGGCTAAATTATAAATTTTGTTTTATTCGATTATAAAGATAGCAATTTACATATACTGGAGTGACATATAGCATTTTAAGTCATGTAATTTAAAAATTGTGATGTAATTTTCGGTCCAAACTAAAAATTCTCAATTTATATATTTGGGATGAATTTTGTTAGAAATTTAAGTCATGTAATTTAAAATTTTTGTTTCAATTCCATTCCTTGACTGTTATGATTGTGAGTTTTAGCAGTCAAATGATTGAATTGCAAAAAAAATTTAAATTACAGAACTTAAATTGTTACGTCACTCCAATAAGACCTAAATTGTTATCAGACCAAAATTGCAATTTAACCCGCTTTACTTTTTTCATTTTAAAACAAGTTTTTTTTGAAAAAAAAAAATTGATATCCAAAATCACCATCTAAGTATTTTCTGATTTGTTCGACTGGGCAGTCGATGGTGTTCCAGACGGTGCAAAACGGGCAGATAAACTTCCTAAACTTTGTGGACAGCATGGGTTTCCACTTGAAGGTGACCGACAGCACCAATATCAACGTATCGAACCTAAAAATACAAGCGCCTGCAGCGAGCCCCAACACAGACGGGATCCACCTCAGCAGCAACATTAACGTCAAAATCACAGACATCTATATTGGCACAGGCGATGACTGTGTCTCGGTCGGCCATGGCAACCAAAACATCCTCGTAGCCAGGGTCACTTGCGGCCCTGGCCACGGCCTCAGGTATATACATATCACACAACGACTTAATTAGCAAATGCAAAAATGAAATACAACATTTTGTGGAAGTGTGAATTATAATAATTTTGTCATGTGTAATGACACAATTACATTTACTACCAGAAACCGTTAGAATCTGTGATTCCAGAAATGGTTTCTCTATAAACTAGTAAATTCGTGAGGAAATGGAATGTTATACGAACTTCTAAATCTTTTTTTCCCCATGCATTTGGCGGGAGTGGTCAGTGTCGGGAGCTTGGGTAAACGACCCGACGAGACAAACCTGAAAGGAGTGACCATAATCAACTGCACGGTCAACGGGGCAACAAACGGTGCACGAATCAAAACCTATCGGGCATCTCCCCAGTTATCTGCTTCCACCATTTATTTCGATAACATTATTATGAATGGAGTCGCGAACCCGATCATCATTGATCAGAATTATGCTTCCAAGAAAAAACGCCAGGTAGACTTTCACAAACATGCACATTTTCATTAATAGAAAATATTGTACTTTTTTCACACGGGTCGACACGTCTAACAGTAAATTCGGCTTGCAGGCATCTAATGTGAGGCTAAGTGATATCCACTTTAGAAACATAAGGGGCACGACCACTTCACCAGTTGCGGTCTCTCTCAACTGCAGCTCGACGTACCCTTGCACGGGGGTCGAGCTATCCAACATTGATCTAAGGCCCGCCGGCCGCATGGGCCCGGTCAGGACCGCTTGCTCCAATGCTAAGTTCTTTGTGAAGGGGAGGATTAACCCAGGCCCTGCTATGTGTACATAGGCTCTTTTTGTTTTTTTGGCCAGCACCATATCAATTTATCCCCCGAATTAAAGAGATGGGATTATATAGAGATTTTTTTTCGGAGTTGTGAAAAAAATAAAATATGAAAAAAAAAATGCATGATGTACTGTTAGAAAAAAAAAAAAAAAGATAATATTAATTTTTCTTTTCGTGGTATCTTAAGCTGATTAGAAGGCTTTGACACTGTGCGGTGAACTTATGTATAATACTAACTCCGAAAGTATATGGGGAAAAAAACAATTGGGCCTTACAATGGTTGTTCTTTTATTTTTTTAATTAATTTATTTTGTTTTATTTTTTTTTTTATTTTTATATAGTTATTTATATATTTATTTTGTATATTTGATTTGACGAAATTCAGAAATTGGAGCAATCGATGCAGCATTAGGGGACTCGAACACTTGATCGTATTCAGACACCAAGTCCATGAATCCAATTAGTCCTGCTCCTGTAGAAAGAAGGGAGATGCTACGGTCTCGTTACGAAACCATTTCGTCGAAGTTTATAACCGTTAGATCAACTATTTCCGACGGTTATATGATCTAACGGTTACAAACACCGATGGAATGATTCTGTAAGTGAATCGTACCATTTCCCCAAAAGATAATGCAATAATAATGTCATTTTATATATATATATATTTTTTATTTTATATTAAAATGGCGGGGCCGAAAATTTGAAAGGAACCGTTTTCTCAATTTTTTTTTTTTTTTTTTTTTTTGGTACAGGGACCTTCCGGTTTTCGGATTCATAGGGGAACCGACTAATTCGGAATCGAGCTGTGTAGGACCGCAAAGGTGTCAAAGCTCTCCCTCAAGACATTTTCAATGAAGGAAAAACGTACCAACTGCAAGTCCACTTATAACTAACCGATTATAATTTTGAAACAAATTATAATTTTAGTTATGTATAAGAAATTAACAAAATAGTCCTCCACAAATGTTGGTTTGGGAAATCGTCCGTATGTATACGAACAGGTTGCAACTTCGTCCTCGCCTTATTGCAAGACAATTTTCGTACGTGGATTACTATTTTGTTAAGATATTTCGGCGGGTTGAGGATATTGCAACCTTTAGGGCTTGATTGTTTATGAAATAATTTGTTCATTTTGAAAAAATTTTGTTAACTATAGTTAATTGTTGGAAAAATCAGTTGTAAAACTTGAGTTTGACCCGGGTTTGACTGAATTTTTTATGGCTAAATATTTATTTTGAGTTGAATTAAATATTGTAAAAAAATTTTACGTTCCGAGTAGATACTCGTGGTATGTTTATTTTCTCAAAACTGATTTTCGGTGAGTGAGAAATAAATTGTTAAAGTTAGCCATAAAAGGGCACGTAAAAC